AGTTGCCGCCATGTGATTGGCTGATTAGAAATTAAGTGTTAACGAGCAGTTGGACAGGTGTACCTAATAAAGTGGCCGGTGAGTGTATTTAGCTGAATACGACCTCATCAGTGTGAAATGTACAGTAAGTCACCTGATCAGGTGCAGCCGCTCGTCTTCAGGAACCTTAAAGAGGAACTTCCTCTTGCTGCGAGTCCGGAACATGGACTTCCTGCTGTTGTCCATGGTCTCTGGGATGGTGAGGTCACCCTCTGAGGAGAGGAGACACATTAGCTACAGGTGACAGGTGGGTCTGAGGCGTCAGGTGTGTTCAGAAGGATTTACCTGACGAGGCGTTGCTGAAGAAGATGAGGCGAGGAGGCTCTGAAGCAAACAGGTTTAAGGTCCCTTCAACATTCAGAGGTCGGATCTGAGGACGGGGGATTGTGTGTTAATTTTTCTGTAACATGTTTGTGTGTTAAAATGTTTTTTTACAATAGATCTGTAACAACATGTTCTTATCTCATACCTTGCGGAGCGGGATGGTCTGGACCCACTCTGTGGTCTGAATATCAAAAACATCAACCCCATATTCACTGTAGACCGTCAGGTGAGAAGAGTTGGAGCCTGGAGAGAAAAAAGATAAGCTTTCCTGAATTTCTTCAAACTAACTGGTGATGTTTCTCTCCGTCTCAGCTGTTTCACCACAATAAGCAGAATTAGTGACGTACAGCATGCTAGCACCGTGGCGGGCCACATCAGCTCCTGGGTCCGGGACCTGCGACCATGTCCGTCCACGTAGATGCCGAGCTTGCTGAAGCAGAGCAGGACCTCGTTGGCGCCGACCTCCAGGGCGTGCAGGGCGTCCATCGGCTGCTGGGCCAGGAAGGCCAGGGAGGGGTCRCCCGGGTTCACCAGGCTGATGGGGGACGTCTCCCCCTGCATGGCCAGCAGGGCGAAGCCGGAGGAATAACCCATGCAGAGCCGGTCTCGGAGCATCCCCAGCCACTGCACGATGTCCGGGGCCTGCACCTCCCACAGCTTCTTATGATACGGCTTCGTTCGAATGATCTCGTAGCACAGAACCTGCCGAAGGACGGGGGCGGGGCAGACRTCAGAACCACAACAGAGCAACAGAAGCGCTGCAGGAGAGCTTGCGGGTCTCTGACCTGACGTTTGACAGCGGCCAGCAGACAGGCGGGGCCTCCGGGCCGGAGCACACCTGTGGTCATGACCTGGCAGTTTTTGGTTTCCCCCAGCTTGATGCTGTCGGAGGAGGAGTCTGAGCCCTCCAGAACCCCCCAGGGGTGAAGGTGGACCTGGCGGTTTCGACCGCAGAGCAGAGCAATGATCTTCTCTTTGGGAATGAGTTCGATCTGACAAACCTTCTTACTGTCAGCGGCTCGGACGATCACTGCAAAGAGAAGAGGGTGGTCAGAAACCGACACGCCTGCAGGACTCGAACATCGACACACATGTTGGAGGACCCCCTGACAACTGCTGTTAATGGACGAACACAAACTACATTTCAAACAGCTGCACATCGACTCGTTTGTGTCCGACTCACCGTCTCTGGTCACTTCTACCACAAACAGCCCATCTTCTGTTCCCAGAGCGAATCTCTCTCGATCTAAAAACAAACAAAAAAACTCGTAAAAGTTGGATTTCTGCACGTTACGTTATATTGTTTTTAATGAAATCAAGGCCATAAATGCCTCACACATCATTCTCCAACCACAGAAAAACATCTTTAAATCTTGAGAACTTCTGAAGCAGCAGGTTGACGGTTTAAATCCTCACTCACCRACCACCGTGGCGCACTGCGTGGTCTTGATGTAGGGCAGCGAGGCGTCGTAGGCTTCGTGCAGGACATGGACCTGCTGGCTCTTCAGCTGGTTCTTGGTCAAGATGCTCTGCAGACTCTCCAGGACTCGGACCCACTTTTTCTTCTCCACTTCATTCTCTGCCAGGATGAGCAGAGACACCGAGGAGAACTGCGAGACCAGCTGCGAAGTCGTGACCTGCTCACATCAGAGACAACGCAGGGGAAAGGTCAGAACAGGCGCACGTCAAAGGTCAGAGAAGACGACAGGTCAAAGGTCAGAGAAGACAACAGGTCAAAGGTCAGAGAAGACAACAGATCAAAGATCAGAGAAGACAACAGGTCAAAGATCAGAGAAGACGACAGGTCAAAGGTCAGATCAAAGATCAGAGAAGATAACAGGTCAAAGGTCAGAGAAGATAACAGATCAAAGATCAGAGAAGATAACAGGTCAAAGGTCAGAGAAGATAACAGATCAAAGATCAGAGAAGATAACAGATCAAAGATCAGAGAAGATAACAGNGCTCAGAGAGGAGGTGAGGGAGGAGGACATGCCGGCAGGAGGAGGAGGAGCAAGAGCAGGGAGGAGGAGGAGTTACCGAGGGGAGGTCCATCAGGACCTGCATCCCGTCTCCTGGTCCCATGTGAGCCACGTGGTTGAAGTTTGTAGGGTTCGAAATCATTCTAGACCTGTACTCTGGATCCTTCATCCTCTCCCTGAGGTAAACAAACACAACAGGTCAACAAGTAAACAAACACAACAGGTCAACAATAAACAAGTAAACAAACACAACGGGTCAACAATAAACAAACACAACANATCAAAGATCAGAGAAGACGACAGGTCAAAGGTCAGAGAAGATAACAGATCAAAGATCAGAGAAGATAACAGGTCAAAGATCAGAGAAGATAACAGATCAAAGATCAGAGAAGATAACAGGTCAAAGGTCAGATCAAAGGTTAGAGAAGGCGACGGATCAAAGGTCGGAGAAGACGACAGGTCAAAGGTCGGAGAAGACGACAGGTCAAAGGTCAGAGAAGATGACAGGTCAAAGGTCAGAGAAGACGACAGGTCAAAGGTCAGAGAAGACGACAGGTCAAAGGTCAGAGAAGACGACAGGTCAAAGGTCAGAGAAGACGACAGGTCAAAGGTCAAAGAAGACGACAGGTCAAAGGTCAGAGAAGACGACATGTCAAAGGTCAGAACAGGAGAAAAGGTCAAAGGTCAGACATTAAGGGTTCACAGGGTTTCCTACCCTAAAGATGCAGGGAATGTCCCTCCTGGTGGCATGAATCACATCTGACTCCAACACGGAGCTGACAGATAAATTTTCATCTCTAAAACAAACCAGATCCAAGTTAAAAACACAACAGAAAGGCCTCAAACTGTTTCAACCCTTTTTGACTCCTGGGACCTGGTTTACCTGAGGTCCAGGACCAGACTGGCCATCACACCCGGCTGAGTCGACTTGGCCTCAGGAATGTCATAGAGAAACAGCTTACAGTCGGACACCACAGCAAACGCTCGCTGCCAGCCCTTCTTCACGCCGCTGGGCTTCGGGATCTGTCACGAAGGAAAATGGCACGAGTTAAAGACRTCACGCGGGTGCGTCAGCGCAGCCTGGTGTCAGCGCTCTTACCTTGACATAGCCCTTGTACGGCGTGCCGAAGCCTCGATGGACGTCGATGCCCTGCGGCCTCTTGGCCTGCTCGGCTGGGATTGGACAGACCAGGGGGGCGTGGTCTTTACAGGAGATGTGACAGATGAAGGAGCATACTGAGGAAGTGAACAGGAAGTAGAACTCAGATTACCTCAGGTCAAAATGGAAATAATCAGGTTTTCATTTTTGTTTGAAAAATAATCTAAAAATAGAGTTGAATTAGTAACGTATTTAATAATTTTTCATTATATCTGTAACTAACTCAGGTTACTTGAAGCAGGGGTTCTTAACCTTTTTGACCTCGGGGCCCAATTTGTTCAATATAAAGTGGCACGAGGCCCAGTCACACATTACCATACGTATCAAAATGATAATTATTCTAAATCTTGGTTTAATCCAGCAGTCACAGTGCGAGGGGTGGGGTACACCCTGGACAGGTCGCAAGTCCATCACAAACAAAAATAACATTTTTTTTAAATAAATAACAACAAAAATAGACAATTCAATAAATAAAATTGTGACCATAAAATAAATACATTCAAAAATATT